AATGGAAAAGCGATGTTCCAGTCAATTCCGTTTATAAGGTTCATCTGAATGTCTACCGAAATCACCGCACGGTAGAACGTCACGGTGTAATCTACCATCGTTAAATCCAACACAACCGTCCCTCCGTCATTGTCTCCCGTTACACGGCCGCAAACGCGGGCGTTCTTCGACACCGAAATCTTCCGTGAATATTTCAGGAAAATTACCGCACGTTCGTCGGGCGCTCGGGTTTCCAGCGATTATGTCGTATAATCCGCGGTGAGTGCGTTTGTCACGGCCACCGCTGCGACGGCAGAGACGGGTGTCGGGTGTCCCCGTGGGTGATATTCCCTGTTATCCGAAACACGAGATTGTTATCCCACAGTACTTACCATACGTATAAGCGCCGCGATGGCCGGAAGAACGAGACGGAGGGCGGCTAGCGGATGGACCATGGGGGCGGGAAGCCGGTGCTCCGGATTAGCACGGAGACATTAATCACCCCCGCCGTCAGCCAACCAGCGTGATCTCAGTGAATTTGCAATTAATTCGAAATTGCCGTCATCATCGCATCGTAAAGGCGTACGGACGCGCATCGTTTACACCATGCATACATATCGGAGCGACGAGATACGGCCCGTTCCGATGCGAACGCGTACGATCGCCTGTGATGAATGAGCCGCAGCTCGGATTTCATTAATTAACGGAAGTGGCCGGAATTCGATGGTACGTGGACGCGTCATTCGATAAAGCGAACGTCCGCCGAGTACATCGCAAATTGGTATTTAGTAGTTAAGGGATACGTTCCCAGGTGAATATTGGATTGATCTGATTCTCAAGAGAATTTCGCTATTCCGCATTAGGATATTTATTTTTGATGTCGCAACATATGGTACCATTAATATCCGGAATGGGAAAAAATTTTCATTAAACCAACGTTTTTCAATCAAATTCGAGTGAATTTCTCTTTAGTAATCATTTAGATGCCTGCTTTTTTAAATTTATTTCAATGTTTATTAAATTATATTTTGTTGAAGATTCAAGAGTAGGTATTATATAAAACAAATTGTTAATAGTAATTTATTTATAATGAACAACCTTTGCGATAATTTTCTTGGCAAACGTAAAACTATATGTTACATAATAAATGTTGCATTGCAATTATATAAATGTGCTATTCGCATGAGATAGACAGGACATGTGCACGTTTAATTGAAAAGAGGTCCCTGACAGATCATCAGACACGTCAACTGTGATAAGACAAGGGCGACAGATCGTGCCCTTCGTGAGGGAGCGACGCCGGACTCGATGTGGGTTGCAGTAATATCCTTTTTTTTTCTTACAGAAAGTACGCCCCATCGAGTTCCCATCGGCCCCGAGAGACCAACGGTATTACAAGTAATTGTCGCCCTGGGGAGATCGCAGACGACCCTATATCCACCCCAGCTCCCAACCCGATCTCGGTGAGATGGAACGAGGGTGCGGGAGGAAGGGAGCAAGGCGAAGGAAAAATGAGTGAAGAAACAAAAGAAGGGAAAAATATGATAGTTTGGAAAATAGAAGAAGGAAAATATGAGCGAAATAAGAATGTGTAAAAGAAAGTAACATGAGATATATATGAAAAAGAAATTAGCTTCGTGAAGAAGAAAAGGAGGGGAAAGAAGAATCGAGAACAGAAAAGGAACAGTATTGTGTACCGCCAGACTGCGACACCCTTCCACATTTTCCACGACCCTATCGCCATACCCCGGTCCCAACTCAAGGGATAAAAAAGTAGCGCGAAACTTTCGCCTAACAAGTGGATGATTCACAAATCATCCCCGATTCGGCGTGACGCCACCCCTCGTCGATGAGAAACTTCATTTCAGTCTATATCCTTTTGCGCGGAACAACCAATAACTCCCATTTCGCTGCAGGCAACGAGTCAAGAACAGAAGAAAAGATGAAAAGACGACGGGGAAGAAATAAATGCATAATACCTCGATTCATCGTAGTACGAATCGAGTACCTAATCGAGGGTGCTATCGCTCGAAGTTGCTTCCGCCTCCGTGTTACTTTGCGATCTCTTTTTGCTTTTCTCCAGGTCCTCGCTTCGTTCCACCATTTTTCACTGCCGCGCGGTGACGTTTCCGAGGGCAATCTTACCGATGAAACATGTTAAAAGTGAAAAATAGCGTTTCCTTCCTGTTCGTGCCGTCAACAACGAGTGCCGTCGACGCGATTCCAACATTTCGCGACCGGAATACCAGTGGAATTATGCACGAGCGGAGAGTGCCATCGCGATATGCGATCGATTCGTTCGTAGGGAGCTACTACTCGATAGATGAAACCGTCGGATAAAGGGAGTAACAAAGTGTCGTGACTCATCGATCGAACTCGGCGGTCCAGATGACCGGATTAGCTGGAACGTCGCGATATCCTACGAGAGATCTTCTCGTCCTGCGTATCGCAGGATGCAGATACGCAAAAACCGAGTAATATTCTGGTGAGTCAGAATCACAACGGTAGCGTTCCCCTGATAGAGGAAAAGAAGTTTTTGTTCCGAGGATGGACCGATAAAACCGGATAACACTACGTTTAATCGAGTCGCTACTGAATGCGCCATGAGGCATCATATCTCAACGTGCATAAATGTGTTTGGACGGAATTTGCTACGCTTTTAGCAAGCAGCAAGAAATTTTTAACATATATCAGAGCCTCGCGAATGCATTTTAACGTTTTGCACATGCATCACCCATGTCTACTATTTATGAGTTTATTGATAAATCTCTTTATAGACTTTCTTTTCAAAGAATGTGTATGTGTGTGTGTGTGTTTAATCCAGATATTAGCATTCTTAATTCCTAACGCAACGTATTACGTAAACGAAAAAATTTAGTTCTAAAAAGTTCTAAAAATTTAAAAAAGAAATAGAAGAATATATTTAAAAAACAGAGAAGAAGAAAAACTTTTTTCGGTTTGTTTTTAATTAATATTGAATATTTAAAAATTATTTTAATAATAGAAAAGAATATTAAAAAGAATATGACTGCAATTAAGAAGTTTTATTTTTCTCAAAATTTTGAAGATAATTTAGAATATTCTAAAGTTTTTATATAATGGATTATTATTATTCGTTATGTAATTTTATATATAACGATTAATAATTTAACATTTATGTACCGTTCAAACAATTTAGAATCAGTAAACTGCGCTTGCACAAACTTTTTACAGGGAGCTATCGTAGAACTATCTGCACAAAATTAAGTGACCAATTTTCGTGCTGGTTCTCGTCCCGTTACACACACCATCCTTTTATTCTTTTGTCGCCTCCAACCATTTTCAGCAGCGAAACTCTTCCATCGTCGTGTCGAAAGTGAACAAGAGATAAGGAGAAACGACAGCTCCGTGATCACGGAAATGGTGCGATTTCGCGGTTAACGAACCTACGAATAGGTCCACGAGATAACGTAGAAGTGGAGGGCTGGAAAACACTCCCTTGCGGGATAAGATGGGTCGCCGTGGTATTCTCGCAATAAAGCGTCCACCGTAATGGTACTAGACGTATGTTATACATCTACGAGCGAGTGGATGGACGTCTTTCGTACGATGGCGACGCCTCTAACTGGGATTCACAGCGTGAACATATCGGCCTTTTACGCTCGTTCTGAAAATCCCTGGATTCAATGAATTTGCGATATGGGTTTCATCAACATACGAATGGCGACAAGTAAAGAATTTGCCGGCGTCATTCAATCGCGACTTATAAATTCTTTAACTTCTAACTTCCGTATGTTGATCTTATAAAGATTCTATTAATTCACTTAATGCTGATATGGTATATAACATATTATATATATTTACAGAACCTATTATTTCTACTACTAATAAATGCTTTATGTTAATGAAGAGTGTGTAATTATTTGTATTTTTAAAGTAATTATTGCTTCATGATATTTTTTATCTCCATTATCTCTTTTTATATAATATTTCTATACAAAATCTGCACACAAAAACTGCAAATATCGAGTATAAGAATAATATCATCTTTAATGTTCTTAAAATGTTCAAAAGATACGATATAATAGAAAAAAAAACGAAAAAGAGATAACACGATAATGTACAGATTGAGGCTAATCGGCAGAATAATAACTAGCAGAATTCGGTACCGCCATTAGGATGAATCAGATGCAGTAGAACGGTGATTTCCTTGTCGTTTAACATCCCATTGAGGGAGATCCGCGACTTTTCACGTTTTTCCCGCGTTCTCTACCACATTGTGAGGGGTTTCGAGGGCGCGTTCGGTTTCCTTGGTGACCGAAGGGAGTGCAAAACCGAACCGCACGGTGTACACCGGCTCGTTCCGTCCCTTTCACACGCCCAGGCCATCTGTTTGTATTTCATATTGATAGAGTATTGATACAGCCCTGCACTGTCGTGCCTCACCCCTCACGAGCCATGCCAAGCCTCTCTTAACCCTCGGCGAACACCCCCGGTAAACCACCGTGACGGGCCACCATCCCGCAGCGGAACGTAAACGAGGATACCGTGTGTTACCATTCCAGCCGGGTCACGTGTTTACTTTGTTCTGCATTGTTGCGTCTCGTTAATGGCCGGCGGAAACGTTTTACTCGAACACACGGCAGATCCATTTTAACATCCCTTGTCGCGGATATACGAATCGTGATTCCTTTCATAATCAAAGAAGGTAGTTCTCCTTATACGCGTTTGTAATAATCTCATACGACATATACAGTACATATTAAAGAGTCTTTTGTTTCAAGTAGATTTTGAATAGAAAACAAAACAAATAACGTCAAAACAGTATTATAACTCGTAACAAAGAGAGCGATTTTGCTAAAAAGTCTCAGATAATAATTTATTGCAAAAAATAAACAAATACAAATAATTATTTTGATACTGCAACAAAATTATTTTCAGATCTATATCCAGCAAAATCGTAAATTTTTTTCAAAAAAATGTTTTTGTGTAGGACTGGATATTTAGAAGCATCTTACAATTAGATACATATATATACATACCGGATGTCCTACGAGGCTCTGCCATGAAAATTCTAGGTCCGCTATGTTCGCCGGTACAGGCACGACGAAATTCATCGCGTACGTGTTGACCACCCCCTCCCGCACGTAGTACAACTCGGCCTCGAGTCCTGAAAGCAGAATAGCGGAGTGTATCGATTGGACGATCAATTATGAAAAAGCTGTACGATGCCGCCGGCAAAGTTTCCCTCCACCTTCCCTGTCCCGATGAATCGACCGATCGCGAACTACGGCACGTGCAGCCCTTCGTTATAAGTTGCGGGGACATTGACCACGGTCGCGTCTTCTTTACACGAAGTATCGCAGTTGCACGGAATTCATTTCCATGGAAACTTCAGGAGACAGAATAATTTCGCCGTAGGGAACTTCTCCGTTTCAACGGCACGCGAATCGCGCAGTACAGAATTATTGTCAGAGCTTTGATAGAGTATTACGTGAGCTTTACTGAATATAGATCTACGATATTCACGCCAGGATACCAATCTTCCTCTCGCTCGATCTTGTCGATATATAACTCGTATAGCGATAAAGATTAAAACCGGGAAGAACGAAGAGCGAAATGTCTATCACGTTACGTCGACGTATGATATCGGCGTGACAAGAGATCTAATACGACGATTATTATCGGTATATTTCGCGTATACGACGAAATCGTATCTCGGGGAATATCTACCGCGAAATAACCACGGGGATTCCGCGAACGGATTTATAATACGGATCCGTCGATGCCAGGTACTCCATCCTATCCTGCTCCTCGGTGCATATCCCCCTTTCTCAGTGGATCATGATCTGAAAATTCCTCTTGGGCACTCGTACGTATAGTTGCGCCTCCATCCGCTAGCACCTCTCCGTCGCCGTCAGTTCGCAAAATCTCGTGTAGATACATAAGGATCTGAATTTCCTCAGGCGATCGGATGCGTCATCCGTCTGCCTTCACGTATGACTACGCAATTCGATATCACGCTCGCGAACAAGCTCTGTCAGATATACCGTGTAGGTACGTACATATTGATACCTACCGTCGTATTTGACGTCGTGTGCTATGGCGCAACCGTGGTCGCGTTTGCACCGTGATAAGATCCTTTAAAAAAGCGAGATGTTCAGACCCGGAGTGCCGCTGTACACTCGACGAAAGAGAAGCACACGTAAAATGCAATAAAAGAGAGGAAAATGGAAAGAACAGAAGCGAAGAGAAAATGTGGAGAGGATCGAATATTTTACAAATCCGTACGATATCCGTTCTCGCTGTGAGCAAGAATACTTGTCGCGGTTTGACGAAAGTTAACGCTTTTCACTTAAAAATTGACAAAAGCTTCATCTCCTCGTGAACTGTAATTCGCTATTAACACGTCTTCGATTAAACACGCTTTAGTTTTTAATTAAATTATATAAACTCTGTAACTATCTCTCTATTTTAATTTAAATTGTTACGCAGTAACTTTTGTTGAAAAATATTTTTATTGTTATTTCTAAATACAGAACTGTTTTCAGACATCCTTACACAACACATAACACATTGTGTATTGAAGCTATAGGAAAATTCTAACTGCAATAACAAACCATTCTAACCTTAAAAAATCTGACTCTGCAAAGGGTTTTACTATTTTTGTATTTTCAGTTCTTTGATAATTGAAAGAATTTATAACATTTAATCTTTTGATGCGTGATTTTTATTCTTTTTCCGAAAAATTTATTAATTTATATCATAAAATTGCAATATAAATATTACTGTAATAATGTTTCGAAACTTATTATTTTTATTATTTATTTGTGTACAAAAAGGATTCGTAACTAAAGTAAAAATCAAGAAAGGGTGCACGCAATTAATATACGAGTATGTATGTCAATAAAGCAAATTTAATATAACGAAAAAATTAATAAACAAATTCGTATAAGTCCTCCACAAAAAATAAAATCTTAATGAAATTGGAATCTGAAAATCTTAATGGACTGTACAATCTATATTCGTCGCAAAGTGTTGAGCAAGACGCGAACGCCTGTGATACGGTTTAGCGACAGCTTAACGTTTCGTGAATATACGTATACATTGAAATGCTGGTAGTCGAAGTTTAAGGCGGCGTCGGGCGGACTCGAGGGTAAGCGTAGTAAGAAGATTAAGTAACTTTCTACTTCGTGCCCCGGGTCTTACGGAGGAAAGACTAACACCCGGCAGAGAAACTGATAATGACAGTCGGCTGTGTATTAAGCGAAACATCCGCGAAATCGAATTAATCCCTCTGTACTTCATTTTATTATCAGACGTTAATCCCGGCTAAAGTGGAGAGTCGTGTCTGACTAAGTAAACGCGTTACCACTTGCGCTTCAAGATGCCCCGAAACTCGTCCTCGAAAATGTATCTTCCTAATAGATACCGCGTATCCTGCATTTATACATTTTTTGTTTAAAATTCTGTAAGTTGTATTGAGATAAGAGGAAAGTTCCACACACACAATGACTAGGCATGTACGCATAATATCTAAACATTAACACAAAACTTTGTATTTATTCACATTATTATTAACCTCAAATGTTCCTTTTAAATACACATGATAATATTATAATTTTTAAATCCCATGAAATTATAATATTGTAATAAAAAAGCATTTGAGATCAATAATAATAAATTTTGTACAAGTATTCTAACATAGATACATTGAGACCTAAATATAACTCTTACCCGCGTATAGTTATACTCTTTAAAACTTTTAGGATAAATCTCTTACTCTAAAAAGAGTAAAATTTCACTCTTAAAAATTTCACTTCTTTTCAAGATTGACTCAATTTTTACTCTTTAAAGTAAGATTCCATAGGATTTCGAGAGTAATAACGACACAGTCTCCTAAAGTTAAAGATAAAAGAAAGTGGCTCGCGATTTACATTGAATTTTTGCGTCACAATAAGAGTAGCGTAAATTAGGAGATGTGAATAGAGATGTGCTCTGTCAGTTCTATCACATAAATGCGACATTTTAGGACGCAGACGGGCCTTGATCTCTCACCGACATCGAAATTCTCCCTTTGATTCATTGTAAAAGTGATACGAACGACTTCGCTAATGGGGTGACCTTTTCATTACGAATGCCAGCGAACGATTAGCTTTCCAGCCAATTAAATCGCTCGCTTGCGAAATGGACGTGTGCGGCCAGTCGGAAAATCGCGAACTTCCTGATGGACACGAATCTTTATTATCAAGCTTTTTCCCCTTTTTCTGTTTAACGCGTTGTGAAATAGCCGGGATGCAAAGTTGTCGGGGATATTTATACGTCGGTTTATCAGTCGCAGCTATCCGAAGCCGTACCCGCGGGAATGCCGCACACGTAAAACGGAACCAAGCAGCTTCGAGATACAGCTGCGAGAGCGAGCGAGGCACGATCGTGCCCGAGTAAAGCGAGCGTGTATATAGTTTCTCTATCTCACACGCGCGCCATGGCGAAGCCTGAGCGAGAGAAAGACTCGGTCGGTGTGTTGGAAAGCCGGGAGAAAATATTTCACAAGAAGATAAATCTTAGACGATCCCACGAGGAACGAGCACGCGCAACTAACTCAGGTGGATTAAGTTCCGCGATATCGTCTGGGGGTTTTGAGTGGGCAACAAATGGACATAATCAGGTTGTGCGCCGCGCACAGCCGTTGCATTACGTTGTCGGGATTACGTGGGGACTGCGTAGGCGACTCGCGTATATACCACCCCGTCGTAGATTTCATTTCACGGCATATCCCGCATCTTCGTTTCGACGTAGGTATACATTAAAGTTTGGGGCGGCGAAAAGTTAGCGGCGCGAGCAAACGTGTAATTGCGCCCGTGCTCTCTGCACATGGTTTCGCAGCGTCGTCGTATACGTCTGCAGCTTAAATTGCCGCTGCACCTATGGGGCAAGTTCTACTATACGCCCGCGAAAGGATGAGGACTAATAGTACGTTAAGCGCGTATTTTCTGTCTCCCGAGAAATGGAGAGATGGTTGGTTGTTTAAAACACACACACACATGTACGGTCTTATTTTTATTTAAACGAGAAGTGGAGGGGCGCAACATTCTCCTGACATTAAGGATTCTGTGTCGCTATAGTAAAATTCTTCACGAAAACAATTTTCTTCATTCTGTCTTAAAATTGTTTGAAAAGTAAGATGTTACTTATTGCTCTCGCACACTTAATTCCACCGGAGATATATATTCATAGAGCTGTCACGTGTCGCATTTCCTGCACGGCAATCTTTCTTCAGTCTTTTACGTAACTTTGAGAAGTATCCGCGTATAAAAATTTCCTATCTTTCAAGGCATGGAAATTCCTTGAAGCGGACTTGAACGATGTAGCGTGCAGACATGCGAGCGCGCGTGCAAATATCATTTATTTTATCTTTTATTACATAGTTTGTCCTTTCATATGATAAAATCGCAGTCGAATCCATCAAATCACGTGACGTATCTCCCACATGCAACCGTGCGAGATCACTGCGGGTCATAGGGCGATCTATCAATTTGCCGTCGAGACTACCGAAGAAAGAATTTAGGAAGAAGGGTGGCCGGTTCCTCCTGTCTTATCCCATGGGAGATGTGGTCTCCGTTGGATGAGAGCACGGAAACATGGAAGATAGTTTATAGATGCTTCTTCGGAAGCTTTATCTACGAATGGGGTTTCCTGCTTTGATGGTGCTGAGTAGAATACCGTGTTTGGCATATCAATGACCGTCTTGGGTCATTAAAACAATTTCGATTTCACTTACTGTGTTACTCTCGATTGCCTCTAAACAGAAATCCACCATCGCTACGAATTACAACTGTCTTGTTGAATAATTATGATTTATTGGATAGGCAATCCATTAATTTTTCCTTAATTAAATGCACTAGAAGTGTGTATGTTGAAAGACACATCATTTTAAGTTAAATACACATGTGTGCCACTTCGAGGTAGAAAGTCTCACTCTAGGAGCATATACCATGCCAGGAAAATTGAATTAGCATAGGGATTGACGTTGTGTGTCGCAGACTGATGCGACGCCAAATTGAATTTGAAATGAACGCGCGCGAGTAACTGCGTTTCGTACAATCCTCTGTCAATAACGTAAACGGTTTGTAAAGTTTAAATTTTAGAGATCACGCCTAAATAATACAT